TTTATATATATATATATATATATAAAATTAAGTGCATTGAAAGGATATAATGTAAGTGTAAAGATGAAATTTTAAAAAGACTTTAACAAAACAAAACAAAAACAAAAAGAAGAAGAAGAAAAAAGAAAAGAAAAAAATGAGAATATGCAGACAGGTGAAGGGAACAGAGCCCTACACTAGATTCTGGGTGTATTTTGGTCTGTTAGAAGAACCTGCATCCCAAAATTGTAAAGAAAGAAAAAAAATATATATATAATACATATATATATACATATATATATACACACACACAAGTAAAATTAAATACAATGAAAAGATAGAATATAATTGTAAAAATGAAAATTAAAAAATTTTAAAAAAGAGTTGATAAAATAAGAAATTGGTTGAAAAAGGAAAGAGAAAAAAATAAAATTGAAAGACTAAAGAATTGTGGGGGGAAAAAACATGAATTCTATACTACATTCCCCTAGCACTGTAGTTTTGCAATTCTGTGTGATTGGCAAACTTGGTCTTGGCTGGATATTCTTTTGGATCTTCTGGGGAAGGGGCCCATTGCATTGATTATCAAATGTCTTTGCCCTGAGTGGAATTGCACCGCCCTTGCCAGGAGGCCAGTCTAAGTAATCTGCTCCGGATTGCTCTATGTGGCTTTTGTTCCCTTGTGGTCATACTTTAAATCACTGCAAGAGATAATGTGAGTAAATTTCTTAGAAAGAAATAAGTATTGAATAAATGAACGCAGTTAGTATTTGAAGGCTTTAAAAGAACCTTGTTCTACTCCATCTCTCTAGTACCTAGCTCAGTGCTTAGCGTGCAGCAACCATCTTAAATAATTAGCTAATGTTAATTAAAAATGAGCTAAATTTGTTATTTGCTTTGTGTCAGGTGTTGTACTAAGCATTTTTGATGGAAAAGCTCATTCCATCTTCACAATATCCCTGGAAATGGACACTATTCTATTATTATCTCAATTTATAGATGGAAAAACTGAAGTATGCATAGAGAAGTTAAGTAATTTGTTGGATGTTAACATATAGAGGAGTGTGATAGAGTCTGGAACTGGTCTCAGTCAACTCCAGGGTGTAGCTTTTAACCACCAAAGTGTGGGTCTTGTTATAAATCAAGGCCTCTAAAACTATTTATGTGAAATATTCCTGCCTCTGAAACCTATTATCCTGAAATATTTTGAGAGTGGGAGAAAAATAATACTTGAATTATGAGGTCTGTATCTTGAGGTACTTCTCTCAGATCAAGAATGTTCTAAAAATTCCCAGCCAAACTTTCACAACGGGAAGCATGGGAATTTCTCCCCCACACTCTTCCTTCCTCCACTATTTGATAAAACACACCCACAGCCTCTACTTTCTTCTTCTGTTCTGCACTTTAGGTTTTTTCTTGAAACTTGGATGTTTGGAGGTCCCAAGGCTGAATCCAAGTGTGAAAACCAAAGTAGATGATCTTAAAGGTCATTTCCTGCGCTAATGTTTTGTGATTACAGGAGTCCTTCTTCCTGCCTCCCCATTCTCATAGAAATTAGTGAACAGGTCTGGTAAATTCATTGTCAACAATGACGCTCTTGACTCTCCTTTTCCCGTCCCTTAGCCATTGTCCTCATTCTACACCAGGTAAGAATAGGATGGAAACACTGTAGCACAGTCTTAACAGGACTGACATCTCCAATCATTCTTATGTCCCCTGACAACATAACCCTCCAATAATATCCTCTTTGCTTATACCACACCATTGTTAAAATAAAATCCATCAATTGGCTGTGTAGCAGTCCTCATGTGGGGTGCCATGGATTTAGCAGATATCAATAGATAGTTTTTGGAGAATGCAGTCTTAAAAGAAGTTAGGTAGTTTTCTTTACTAATGGAATTTCTTAAGACTTTGATATGCTTATGTGCAATGTGAATCTTTTTGAGGGAGAGATAATGTAACCCAAGAAACTTGCTCTCTTGGGTTTGTTGTGAGCAAGCACAGGTTTCTCGTCACGAAACTGTCTTGAATCATCCATTTGATAGCTGACTCTTCCCTGACACTTCTCACTTGGTGATGAGCCCCTCCTCATTACATTGCACCTTAGCATATGGAAGTCCAGAAAACCACTCCTCAATAGGCAGCTGCTCCATCTCTCAACCCTCAGCCTCTCCAGAATCACTACTTTAGAATACCAAGCTGTGTGTATACATGTGTACATATATGTAATTTTCTTTACTGAGGGACGGGTAATTTTAAAAAGGAATTGACCCACCAAAGTTTTTAGAGTCACTACTCTGTGTGATACTCTACTGGTAGATAAATGTGATTATACATTTGTTCAAACTCATAGAATATACAACACCAAGAATGAACCCATTGCAAACTGTGGACTTTGGGTGATAATAAGGTGTCAGGGTAGGTTCATCAATCATAACAAATGTACACTCTGGTGGGGGATGTTGATAATGGAGAGGCTGTGCATGTGTGGGGACAGGGGGTATATGGGGATTCTCTGTATCCTCTGCTCAATTTTGCCATGAACCTAACACTGCTCTAAAAAAATAAAATCTATTGAAAAAGAAAAAAGAAAAAAGAAAACCAAGTACTAAATATAACTTTCCCAGGGTCCAAACATGTGTGTTGACTAAGAAGGCAACCCCTTCCTAGATGGGTCTTCTTTAAATACATCCACAGTTTCTATTCTGACTTCCCTATCCCTGGTTTTGCCCCTCTATCCTTGAGAGCCTTATCTTCTGGATTTCCCCATTGCAACTCTATTCTGGAAAAATCCAACCCTTATCCATTGGGTCCTTCTGGGACTCATTGTGATTTCCCTCATTAAGTCATTTCCCCAAGTACAAGTCCGTGAGTTCAGGGTAGAACCCTGGAGTTTTTATTTGGACAACCAGTGATTTCTTCTGATAAACCAAATTGCTGCAGAGTGGTTCAGCACGAGGGGGTCTTGGTGCTTCAAGACTCACAGCATCATTCAGTTTGGACATGGGCCCTCCAAGGCAGGGGATTTTCCTAAAGATACCACTTTTTAAAAAGCCCTTTTAGATCTGTTAGAACAGCACATAGCTCACCCTAAAATTATTTTAATTCTTGGGGAGAACACAGTCCCTCTAAACCCTAATGAAAAACAGTGTTTTCTAACTGCTTTGTAGTTTGCCATATAAATTTTCTTCCTTCGAAGGCAATAAATTTCATTATTATGCAGAGTAATGTAATCTTACATTCCTCTGATGCTTTTAGCTTGTATCATTTTGGATCTGATGGATAAAGAAAGGAGCCATATGCCTCCAGAAGACTGTTCCCTTGGTCATAAGAGAGAACATCTGAAGGACCATTCAAGCAAGTAAGTAGTCACGCCCTGTGCTGGGCACTAGAAATGGAAACATAAATCATACAAATTTTCTTCTCTGTGACTTGGCTTTAAAAAGGCATTTATCCATTTGTTAGTCCATATGTCAAATACATTTTGGGCCAGGTACTACATTGGGTATGAGGACTATTTTTGACTGGGTTCCCTGGGAATATACTGAATATTGTGAACTGTGTGCAGATGGATTCCTGGGGAATATCTGGGGAGATACACCTGAATGAAAGTGAGGATGACAGGATGGGGCAGGGAGAGAAGAAGGTGCTCCATGTGGTTGCAGCTAAGGCCCTGCCCAGTCTTACTGGCAGTGCTGGAGCCAACCCTATAGAGTTGTCCCAAAGAGGAAAGGAGGCCAGGCCTTTGTATGTCAATGTCATCTGCTCATTGGTGGCCCAGTGTCCCTGAGAACAGGCTGTAACTGCAGAGAAGGCAGTATTTTGCAGCCTGGGGCAGTACCCACCCCAGCAAAGGACATGGCTTTGAACCATCAGTTAACAGTATCCCCAGGATCTAGGAGATGGGAAGAAATCTGCATGAGAATACAACATCAACTATTGGGATATAGCAGGACCAAGGATCCGTTTATGCTCTCGGGGAGTTGATGGTCTAGCTGATGAACCATAAGAGCAATTAGATAAGTAACAGTGCAAATAGCTAAGTACAAGGAGATGGTAAGCACTATGAAGATGCAGAGCAAGAGTACCTAGCCCGGTCTGAGGGGTCCGCAGAAGGATTCCCAAATGAGGTGATGGTGATGATGAGGTAAGGAATTAGGCATGTGAAGGCAGTGGGTGTGGGAGCTGTTAGAGAGAGCGTCCTCTTGGGGTGAGAACGTGGCTTGGGGGGGCCTTACACCACTAGGGTGGCTGGAGTGGAAAGTGCAGGAGTGGTGCAAGCTGGTCAGGCACAGGAGTGGAGCGAGGACCTGAACCTAAACACTGGACCTGTAAGAGCCAGGACACCTGGTACGGCAGCTGGGGGTTTTATCCTGATGATGCTGACATTCACAGGTTCCAGCTGGCAGGTCCATGAGAAAATTCGCACTTCAGGAAGATCATTCTGGCTGCAGTATGAAGAAAGGAATGGAGATAAAAGAGCAACATGGGGGCCCCTAGGAGTGACTGTGTGGGCTGTGATTTCATTAGTTTCCAATGAGCAATGATAGTGACTTAAAATGGAGGCATGTCAGGTGGGATGGAGAGAAATGGGTGGATCTGAGAGCTATTAAGGAAGCAGAATCCATAAGACTTGACTGATTGGATATGGGCCTTTAGGGAAAAAGCAGAGTCAACCTCAGATTTGTCTTTGAACCATAGCAGGCTGGCAGTGGTGTGAAGGATGAATCTGAGAGACTGTCAGCCTGAAACAAGGGAACCAGTTAGAGCCATGATAAACAATGTCGTTTTGTACAGGGACCCATTCAGGGACCAAAAAAAAAAAACACCACTGTTTATGACCATACTCATTTCAATCAAATGAAAATAACATTATAGAATTCTATTAAAATAATATATATAATCTTATAATTAAAATTACTTTTCTTAGAAGAATGTCTGTATGAAAGCTGGCCCCGCTTCTAGCCACTTAAATATTGATATCTGGGCCCAGTTTAGACAGCTTGTCGTTTTTTGGTTCCTATTCGTGTGGCGCTTTGAACTTCACAGAGAGCATTCTAGAGTGTGCTCCTTTATCCTTGACTCAACCTTGCGGATGGGAATTATTAGGTTTCCAATATGCAGAAGCAGAAACAGAGAAGGACATGAAATGGCTTCATTGCCATGTGGCCAAGTTGAGTCTAGAATGTTTATTCCGTTGTCTCCCGAGGTTGCAGGCACTACGTGCCAGGCATCGCACGGATCAAATCGATGTGCCGGCTCCCTGCGTCCTTCAGCACCCTGGGCCTCTCGCTCGGCTGGCTGTAGGATTGTCTGTCTGCTTAGGGGCAGAGAGGCTGAGATGGCAGGGACTGCCCTGCTACCAGGAAGCCCGAACAATGCCTGTTTCTCCTGGGGGGTGCTGACCACCTGAGCATTCTCGCTGCCTTACTGAATTTAGGCCACTTCTGGGGTCCCCTGCCCTGGGCCATCCTGTCAGGCAGGCTTCGACTTTCAGTTACTTGGAGCCCAGGGCCGGGGCAAGACAGAGGTGGTTTCTCCAGATGGGGATCCCGTGCTTTGTAGGCTCTGAAAACCTTCCAACCAAGTTGAACTTGGTCTCTGGGTTGTATGTTGTAGCCAAATGAATTAGATGTAGCCAAAAGAGCCTCTCTTCCCAAATCAGTGAGTCTGCAACCTCCAGGGTCAGATGTCTCTGCCCTTAGCTAGAGCAGGGGTGAGGAGAAGAGGCAAGGGAGAGGGAAGAGAGAGTTGGGGCAGAGAGGACTCTGTTCTGAAACTGTCCCTTCAGGTTGCAGTTGCTGGCCACACAACAGCCTCCTTTTTGTCAGGCGATTGCAGTATCGATGAGAAGGGAGCTTGTGTCTTAATCTGGCAATTTAGAAATTAAAGATACAATTAAATAGGATTACGGATAAGCTTGAAATAGATTTTCTGAATATAAACACTCACATGTACAGATGCACGCCATTTATTCACTAGTCTCTCCACAAGCACTCTGTAGTCTTTTTTTTCCAGGTTTATTGAGCTATAATTGATGTGTAACATTGTATAAATTTGATGTACAATGTGTTGATTTGATACACTTATAAATTGCAAAATGATTGCTACCAGAGTGTTAGCTAACACCTCCATCACATTACAGAATTTTTGTGTGTGTGCGGTAAGAACATTTAAGATCTACTATCTTGGTAACTTTCACGAATATAATACAGCATTATTAACTATAGTCCCCATGCTATACATTAAATCCCCCGAACTTATTTGTCTTGTAACTGGAAGTTTGTACCCTTTGACCAACATCCCCTCAATTCCCCTATCTCCCAGCCCCTGGTAACTACCACTCCACTCTCTGTTTCTATGAGTTTAGCTTTTTAAGATTCCATATATAAGTGATATCATTCAGTGTTTGTCTTCCTCTGACTTATTTCACTTAGCATAATGTCCTCAACGTCGATCACTGTTGTCACAAATGGAAGGATTTCCTTCTTTCTCGTGGCTGAATAATGTTCCATTGTGTGTGTGTGTGTACATATCTCCATATGTATGATGGACACTGAGTTGTTTCCCTATCTTGGCTGTTGTGAATAATGCTGCAGTGGGCATGGGAAAAACAGTGTGTAGTTTTGATTGCCACGGGTGGTTAGTACAAGGTTTTGGTGTTTTTCATCTTTCTTAGCCTTTACCTCTGAAGCCCACCTCTATCCTGAACTGCCTTTCCTACTTCCAGAGCCTCATAAGGATTGTTTTTGAAGATCAGATTGAGCAGAGACTGCTCTTAGCATTACAAATACTGGTTATAGATAGTCACAGAATGCCTCTCATCTTAGTTGCAAAAGTAATAGTAATAATATAAACAACTACCATGTATGGAACATTCACTATTTTAAACCAAACTCTGAGCTAAGTGCTTTACACACACTAACTCAGTGATATGTTGCGATTCAGTTATAGTACAATATTAGGGTTTTGGGACTTTTATGGCAATGTTAGTCATTGCCACACCTCTTTTTTTCCACTAATTTTATCCAGTTCTTTGAATTGTATACTTTGTGCAGGACTCAAAATGCCAATTTTGCCAATTTTATCTAGACCCTCTGTGAAGTAGGGAAGATGCTTCTTACCTTTTAATACTTTTCACATGAGCACATCAAAATACATTGCCTTCTGGTTGTTTTTTTTTTTTTTTCCCATGCTGCCCCTGCTCTTGAGGACCACATCTGACTCCCTAGAATCTCCCTTAAGGCCCTGTCTCAGGCCAAGCAATCTTCCAAAGGCAGCGGTTCTCAATGATTTCTCCCTCCGACACAATCCAATAGGTATAGGCACATTTTGACAAAACCCCCAACTGAAAGATTTTCTCATAAGGCTGTAGAAGAGGGGTAAGAGAGGCTGCAGATGACCTATGATCCCAGCATGGCCCACTGACCACTCCCTCGCTCTGCCCTTTAGGCATATGCAGTGTACGATAATATAACTGGAATAATTTTGAGTGTATTCTAATTTGTTCAGTTTAAAATCAGGTTGCTTTGAATTTTATTGCATAAACACATGATGCAAAAAAAAAAAAAGTCACACTTGTATGATAAAGTCCTGTGGAGACCTCCAGGAAAAAACTACTGGAAATAAGTGAGTCCATCAAGGTCACAGGATACAAGATCGATTTATAAAAATCAATTGTAATTTTATATACTGGCAATAAGCAATCTGAAAATGAGATTTAGAAAATAAGTCCATTCACAATAGCACCAGAAGAATAAAATACTTAGAAATAAATTTAACAAAAGGAGAGTGAGACTTGTACACTGAAAATTATAAAACATTGGTGGCAAAAATTATAAAGGATCTAAATGAATGGAGAAACATTCCATGTTCATGAGTTGGAAGATGTTAATTCTCCTTAATTGCTATCAGAATCCTGAAGGATTTTGCTGCCCCTGTCCTGGGCCATGCTGTTAGCCAGAAGCTGGGCCAGAGTTGGTTTTTCCAGTTGCTGATCTTGGTGCTTTGTAAAGACTGAGAAGTTGTCAGCTGAAATTGGTTTTCCAGTCATATGTGGTAGCCAAAGGTAAGTGAGGCCCCTGTTACCATCCATGGTCAGAGGGGCTCAAAAAACATCATTAATCAAATGACAGGACAAGCCACAGACTAGCTTGAGAAAAATTTTGCAAATCATGTATTTCATAAAGGACTTATGTCCAGAATATATATTGTACCTCAATAATAAGGCAGACAACCCACTTAATACATGGGCATGGTATTTGAGTAGACTTTTCACTAGAGAAGATATGTGTAGGGCTCACAAGTACATGAAAAGATGCTCAACATCATTAGACATTACGGATATGAAAATTAAAAGCA